ATTATGCAAACGTAAGTAGTCTCACTTCCAGAGGAATAAAGAGCTCAATGAAAGACCCGATTAAAGTAGTACAACAAATACTAGATAAATTGTTTGATCATTTATTATACTACGTGGAAAACGAATTTAACGTCAAATATTCAAAATGGTCACCTTCAGTATGTGGTATCGACGAAGCAATTAGTCGAATAAAAGAAAATAAGATAGGAAATTGGGGACAATCTGTAGAAATAGAAGGTGATTTCACCGATTTATATTCTAATTGCAATAAAGACCTATTAATCTCAAGCGTAAATCTGGCTTGTAAACTTGCTACTTTATCCAAGAACTCAATGAACTATATACAACTACTAATTGAATGCATTATGAATCATTCATATTTTAAAGAACCAGAAGGAATGTTTAAAACGCTGAAAGGTTTTTCTATGGGAGATTGCTCCGCTGCTAGAGGAAGCGAAATAATTCTACGTATAGCAGAATTAGACATTTTTAAAACATTGTCTAGGAAAAAACTAAGTAATAATGTAATCCGTTATCTTAGGTTCCGAGACGACGTCTCTGTGCACATAATTGGAAACCAAGAAAAAATCTGTGAAACAATCAAGGTAATTTGTAATGGTTACCCAAAAGAGATAATATTCAACATGGAAACTAAAATCATCCAAGGAAAATTTCTAAATATCAAAGTCATAAACTTTCCCACAAAACTAAATCCATATACTACAATACTAAGGAAGAAAACCAGTAAATATAATATCACGCCACCCAACTCAAATGTTGCTTGGAAATTCAAAAAACTGGCTGGATATGGTTATTTTAGAACTGTACACACCCACTGTACAGATATGAGGGAACTTAGAAACCAATGCAAGATAGTACGACATATTCTTTCTCTTAAAGGGTTTTCAAAAAGTCAAATTAGTAAAATCGAAAATCAAAGGAAAAAAGAGAAAAATATGTTAAACGGTAAAAGGAAAAAATTCCTAACTACAATAAAGTTCAATGAATGTTCGAATAGACACTTCTTTTTCAAAAAATTCGTCAAAGAGTCCTCAATAAACCTTGATAGCTACTATGTTCCAATGGATATTCCAGATAAAAAACTAGAACAGTATATCTTTACCGTTAAGAAAATGAGGAAAACTCTTAATTTTTAATCAATCAAAGGTAGAATAGGATTTAACTTCTTAGTTCTTGTGTAACAATTGCAATTTAATTAATTTAATATAATTTTAATAACTATAAATCTTCTTTCTATAAATCTTCTTTCATATAGCGGGTGTGCGATTGCGGCTGTTAGGGTGGAGCATCATCAAGGGGTTTAAAAATCGGTTTTTTTTTCAAATTCTTAAAGCACTATTTTGAAAATACAAATAAACTTCAATTCAATTTACAAAGCAACTTCCGCGTACAATTTTATTTTTTTGTTTGTGGGTCCAGTGCTCAAGGGAGCGCTGGACCCTTAAACAGTTTGCGCAGTTATATATATGTATAAAAAACTGCGCAAACAGTAATTGTGGAGCCAGCGCTCCCTTTTTAGTTGAGAAACTTTTAATTCACTAATGAACCCCAATATGTAGGTGCACTGCTCTGACATCAGCAATCCCTCAGGCTGCAAACATATAATTTTTAATTTTCATCCTATTACTAATTTATTAATTTATTTATAATTAATTTATTTCTAATTTTTAAAAAACTTTTCTCCAGAAATGTCTCCTTATGTTTTTCAATTCCTATTTTTTTATTTAATTTATTTAATCCTATTTCTACTTCGTCTCCTTCAAACCTAGGATGATCATTTTAGGTAACCCTAATTGACAAGACCTTCAGTTGCTTCTTTGATTTTTTCTTGCCTGATTTATTAGATCCATAATCTACCAGATTCTTAATTCAATATAGAACTGGGATGTATATGTATTGCAGTAACCCGTCCATAGGCTGATGATGAAGAAGTCTTCTAGGGCCAACTACGAAAGTAGAACCTAACCATCAAAAGATATATGAATACAGAGTATCATTAACCTATAACAGCAGAGAGAATATATGAATATAGAGTATTCAGCAAACTACAGGATAGAGTAATCAGTAAACTACAGCATAGAGGATATATGTATACAGAGTAATCAGCAAACTACAGTATGCATGTTTTCAGAGTATTCAGTAATCTATAGCATGAGGATTTACCTCTACAGAGTAATCACTAACCAGGAACCTACAGCAGAGAGGATATTTTTATACAGTAACCTACAGAAGAGATGATACAGATTGTGCATAGTTAGAATGGAAATAAATATTGCAGAGTTATCAGTTCATAATCTGATTCAACGTTTATATCTGATTGACCATAATTTGAGAATTGTTATGACTATTTTATCATCTCAATACTCTATCAGTAAACTTATGAATCCTAACAGATCTGCATAAACCATATTTGGACACTGAGAACATGATGAGATGGAAGAACAATAAAGAGAAGGTGGGGTAAAGAAGAGAAGATGGGGTAAAGAAGAGAAGGAAGGGTAAAGAAGAAAAGGAAGGGTAAAAAAGTGAAGGAATGGTAAAGAAGAGAAGGAAGGGTAAAGAAGAGAAGGAAGGGTAAAGAAGAGAAGGAAGAGTAAAGAAGAGAAGGAAGGGTAAAGAATAGGAGGTAAGGTAAAGAAGAGAAGGAAGGGTAAAGAAGAGAAGGAAGGGTAAAGAACAGGAGGTAAGGTAAAGAAGAGGAGGAAGGGTAAAGAAGAGAAGGAAGGGTAAAGAATTCTAGGTTTTAGGTTGTCAATAAAATCTCATTTTTTGTGAGTAACCCTGTTTGTATTGTTTATAGGTGTGTATGTATATAAATTTGAATAAACAGAATTTTCACGCCTAATCTAAATCCTATAAGGCAAGCACTAAGCAGGCACTTCATAGACTTCACATGTTAGTCATACAGTATTTTTAGCGAATATTTCAAGTTCAGACTGTAGATTCGTTCCAGCAGATTTATCAGATTTAAAATAGTTTCATTTGCGAATGTATTTCAAAATTAAATCAAATTGTTATTTTATTTAAATGTATACAATATTATTTAATTTATCAAGTCGAATATGCAACCTGTATCTATGAAGGGTGTAGAAGGATTGAATGGAATGTGAAAGTGTAAATGAATATTACTCTGTATATCGGTTAATTAGAGTAACCCAGTGTTACAGGTTGACCCATAACGTTGCTGCGCTGCAAGGACAGAGAAGAAAGCTGCTCCAGCTACCCCTGTGTCAGTCAGCCTAGACCCTGCTACAGAGATACAGGGTTCAAGTGAAGGGATTTATTTCTCCAGGATAGATTAGGAGTAGGGGAATACATCTTTCTTACTTGGGGTACAGAAATACAGGGGAATACATCTTTCTTACTTGGGGTACAGGTATACAGCCTACAGGGGGATATAAGGAATAAGGATACAGCGGGGATATAGCTCTGAATAAATAGGGAAAATAGAAATACACGGAGATTTGTTGGAATTCATCATGACAGGGGGGAAAGGATTTATTTTAAGTATATTCTGATTCTGAATATATTTCTTCAAGACAATTTTTTCAGGGTTTTTCTTTTTACACTAAACTTGCGAAGTGAGGCAAAGTCATTAAAAAAACTAAACCAAAATGCTTCTACGGTTAAATACAAACTATGCTGACATTTTTTTTAACAAATTCAGAAATGAGTCAAAAAATATTAGATTTATACACTTAAAAAAGATTAAGGAAAAATCTTAAACGCAGAATCCCAAAATAAAAGAGTGGAACAAACTTTAAATGTAGGATACTAAAAAAGTAATTTTAAAAAAATGATATATCTCTCTTTAAAGAATGTTTTCTTGTGACAACTTGGTAATTCATTGCACATTTTGGCATATTTTAAATATTTGGCATTTATTTTAAAAGTGTAATTAATACAAATACATTTATGCACTATGTGCAGGTTTAGGTCTATTAAGGAATTGAGTCTTTGCCTATATCTTTGCAACCCAATGTCGTAGACCTACGATATTTCAAACTAAAAGTTAAAAAAAGGTTCGCACTTACATTTTGAATTCTAGAGTTCTCAATATTGGCAATAAAATCTTGTAAATTAAGATTTACCTGGTGTTGTTTATAAATGAAACTAGTCCATGCTAAAAAATTGGATTTGGAAATGATTTAGTAGTTTTTTGGTCATCTGCGACCCGGCGTTGAAAATTTCAGCTGCCATCTATATCTGGACAGTAGATACATTTACTCTTCTAAACTTTACAAAGGTTCTTTTTTGTGTCCATCTACTTCTTCTTTTTATGACTTCAGCTATTCAAGTTGGTTTCAGTCACTAATAAAAGGAACAGCTTTGATCAATAGATTTGAAGATACTTAGCAGAGCTTATTATCCTATTTTCACTGTGAACATCTAAAAGTTTTTAGTTTTTAATTTATAAGGATTTTTGCCCTTTACCTATCTGTATTACTTCATTTGGACAACTGAATATGAGAGGAGATCTTTCTTGATTTGTTAGGATTTTTCCTTGAATTGGGTCTGAAATATCCTTCCAAGCTTCCTTCCGCTCCCTTCCAAATGTTTAGACAAATAGCGTCATGCCTTCATACTTATTCTTTTGGGGAATATATACTTATTAAAGATTATTATGATTATGATTTTACAACCTGGCAACCTGTATTCAGCTTTAGCACGCTGGCAAATGGAAGCTTCTAAACGAAGTCAACTTTTGGACTTTTAAATCATTTTTTAATACAGGATCCATCTTTGGTCAATGAAAACTTCTTCCTCATGTGTATGTATATGATTTAGAAAATGTTCAGCTTAATATTCATAGATTTATAAAAATTAGAGAAGAAATGGTAGATGGGAACCTTTTAAAATGTACACCCTTTATAAATACTGTCAGATCAAATAAATATCAAATGCTTACCACATCAGGTTGCAACGTTTTGTTTTGATTAATATTAGTATTTCTAATCATATTCTTCTCTCATTTTCAGAATGTTTTTGGCCTTTTTTTGAATAAAGAGCGAAATTTAACATTCTTAATTTCTCTATCAAAAATTCCTAATCATGGAAAAAGCTGGTATTTCGGATTTAGAAACTGGAATAAACCAAACTGAAACCGGTTTGAGCGGACTAACCCAAACTGAAACCAGTTTGAGCGCTCTAAACCAAACTGAAACCGGTTTGAGCGGAACAAATCAAACTGAAACCGGTTTGAGCGGAACAAACCAAACTGAAACTTTGAACGAACTAAACCAAACTGAAACTGGGTTGAGCAGACCAAACCAAACTGAAACTGGCTTGATCGGAGAAACCCAAACCGAGATTGATGTAATGGGAGAGGTGCAAACAGAAACTTGTTTTGCTGGAGATGAAACGATGGATATTCTCCGAGCTGAACCAATAATAGTTTTTGATATTGAACCTACTAAACCTAATGAACCTAATGATACTAACATTAATGATTCTACTGAAGCTACTAATCCTCCTGAAACTAACTATACTACGACTGATGATGCAAATGAAGACGACCTTCATGTAAAAGATAAATCATCAGATGCTCTTGAAACCATGAAGAATACAGATGATGATGATCATCATCATAACGAAGAAAATCTTCTCAACAAAGATTTATCTAAACAACGGCACAGGTAAATAATCTACATCGGCATCTATAAACTGTGAACGACATTTAAGCAAATCTTGTATCTGATGTCTTCTAGAAAATATTTTACCAGTAGATGAATATTAGCTTATCAAGAGAAATGGATCTGTGCATACACAGTACATTTATAGTGTGTTTTAAGTTCATTGGATCGTTTATAATTATAACTTGAGTCTAACACTTTTTTCCCGATTCCACAATTTTATGGGCTTCATCGTAAGAATTAATCCAAAACTCATTTTAATTTTTTATTCTCTAGGCCTGAGAAGCGTTTGTCAAAGATTGTGCAGTACAGAACCCGTTCCTACGAATCTTCTGAGAGAAACCAGGTTGAGAAGGTAGGAGTATACAGAAGCAGCAGTTTTAGGAGAGCAGGAGTGGAGGACGGTTGGAGAAGAGGAGGGGAGGATGGAAGAAGCAGAGGGGATGAGGAGGCGGAGGATGAGAGAGAAGGATTGAGTAGACGAGGAAGTTTAAGACGACGGGATGGAAGTATGGATCGACGGTGGGAGGGTCAGCTTAAACCTGACTCCATATCACGAGCAGGACGAGGGTTTAATCCAGGCAGGTTAAACTGTTCCTACTGGGAGGACAGGGTTAGGACGGAGAACTCTCTTCCACCCAAAACTCCGCCACCAAAGAGAAAATTAAGAAATCCTGAAAATCATCCTGAAACTAGGTAACTCATTAAATAATAATAATAATGATTATGATAATGATAAGTTTTTTTCTTCTATTTATAAACCTTATATGTATTGTGTATATTGTTAAACTAACTTATACAATTCAGTAATAACCATAAAACTCTGAAACAGGAAGACGACTTTGAATAGTCATAAGCATGGGACACAGCAATTGTGCAGTGTAAACAGACCCATTTCGCTTGACTAGTGATGTAATAAGTATCTGTATTAAAACTATTTACTTTGTAACACGATCAAATACACTAAGTATTGCTATAAAGTCGTCTTCCTATTTCAGTGTTTTCTAATAATCACTGAAGATACACGAATTAAGCTGCTCCATAAAAGTATATTCTCCCATCTATCCCAAATTCTAATCCGTAGCCACAGTTAATGATACTGAATATGTAGCCACAGTTAATAATACGGAATATGAAGCCACAATTAAAAATACGAAATATGTAGTCACAATGATACGGCATCCGTCGCCACAATAATACGGAATCCGTAGTCACAATAATGCGGAATCCGTAACCAAAATGTACGGAATCTGTAGCCACAATTTTATACGGAATCTGTAGCCACAATTTAATACGGAATCCGTAACCACAATAACGGAATCCGTAGCCACAAAAATACGGAATCCTTAGCCACAATAATACGGAATCCGTTGCCACAATATACGGAATCCGTTGCCATAATATACGGAATCCGTTGCCACAATATACGGAATCTGTTGCCACAATATACGGAATCTGTTGCCATAATATACGGAATCTGTTGCCATAATATACGGAATCTGTTGCCACAATATACGGAATCTGTTGCCATAATATACGGAATCTGTTGCCACAATATACGGAATCAAATACGTCGGTACTATTTCCTTTAATTAGTATTAATATGTAATAACACAAGTTTTGTTTATTTTAAATTTTCAGGGGATATACATTACACCACTTAATTATCTTCCATATACTGTATTAGATATTGAAGACTTTTGCAGTTTATTTCGTTAACAAATATTTTACTCTAATTTATTTTAGTTTTAAATCAATTTAACTTTTACATTATTGCCATATAATATTTTTTATTTTTATTTTTGGTATCAAACTACCACTTAGCTAATTATGGAAGAAGACATTTTAAACTATATTTACCAACTGTTATGTTTCGTGGGACACTCTGTACAAAAGATGAGACTGTAATGAAGACCTCTGAAACTCTTTAAATATGACGATCTGAAGAATTTTGATCTTCCCTAAGGGAATGTAAACCTAATTTCAAGTGACCCTCCATAAGTACAATGGATTGTCTGATTCACAGATACTCTAAATAGCTTTGTCTGTTCTAGTATAAATGAATTAGATATCCATGTTTTTGTGCTCGAAAACTGTTTATTTTCATTTGTGATTTCTCTGCAAAAGTGACGTTAACATTTCTGTTGTTGGAAAACAATGTGAGAATTGTCAGAATTAAACGCTTTTTAAGTCAGAGAAACGACTCTATCAATCACATCAGATAAAGGTTTCAAGGGTACAGTTGTGAATTAACATTCCCTTTAACCAAACTTATTTTTACTAATAAATCAAATGATGGACAATGAAAAACCAAGTTTACAGCCCTAAATAATCACGAATATTAAAATATAATCAATGAAAAATGTTCGTACAGTCGTCTCTGAAGTCTCATCCTTTATGGGTCACCTTGTATACAATAGAAGTTAAAGCAGAAAAGTATAGAAGTTGCTTTCTAAAAACTGTGGTGAATTTCTAAAACTGTTGTTTTTAAACTATAAAATACCCAATATACGGAGTTAATGTATTGACTTGATCTTGAAATTTACGATGCGAGACCAAAGAATTGAAATTAAGATGCAATGGTAAAAAAACATAAATTCGGACAAAATAACTCAAATTTTATTGTGATAGCGGAGTTTTGTGTGTGCGTAATCTGTATACTGTGTTCAAAATAATATAAATAGAATTTACCAATCATTCCAACATATTTAATCTTTTTCCTTTTATTTTGTGATATTAAAATATTAAAATCCTTATATTTTTGCAACATGATGTCGACGACCTTTGATATTTCAAACTGTGAAGTGTGAGTTCTACTAGATCATATAGCAAAAGTTTCAAATATCAAAGATGGTTTGAAACATCTCGTTCCAAAGAAATAGGAATTATAAAATTGAGAAATCAGTTACGTTTTAAAATAATTTAAGGAAGATTGAATACTAAAGTTGAATGTAGAGTGGTTAGAAAGTTACTCTAATATTCGTCATATTAATTATTCATGATTTTCACGCTTCAATTATTATTTTTAAACACTAAACAGTGACACCTTTCGTCCGCTACTATAATTCATTTCATCAAATCAAACAATCAATATTTTTCATTTTAACGAATGTCCATATTAAAACTTTTTATTTAACTCTACCTGGAGCAAGAAAATGATTTAATGCCTTTTTTAGTTTTTATTTTGATGTATTTACATGGCGATTTTCATAATTTACAATATTAGCTGAAAAGCCCGGCGTTGCCCGTGGAAAAAGAGAGAAATTTTTGAAGAAAAAAATTGAGAACAAAAATATTTCACACCCCTGGCCACTCATGAGTGTCCACAAAAAATTTCAGCCAGATCGGTCCAGCCGTTTGGCCGGCTATATGAGCAACATATATATCTATACGAATATCTTGTTCTATTATATAGAAGATGTATACATCCAATGTAAATGTATATTGTACATATATGGTCTGAACGAATTTTTTTAATCATACCAAAATTATCAAAGTTTCATAAATTTTAAGTAATTAAAAAAAATTTGCCAAGAATTCAAAACAAATTTCATCAAAACATGATTGTATTAGCATTTTCAACTATTTCCTCTTAATGATGAAAGGGGTGAAAATANGAACTAGGCCTATCTAACCCCTCTAGGAGAACTAGGCCTATCTAACCCCTCTAGGAGAACTAGGCCTATCTAACCCCTCTAGGAGAACTAGGCCTATCTAACCCCTCTAGGAGAACTAGGCCTATCTAACCCCTCTAGGAGAACTAGGCCTATCTAACCCCTCTAGGAGAACTAGGCCTATCTAACCCCTCTAGGAGAACTAGGCCTATCTAACCCCTCTAAGACGGAAAACTAGAAACAATGAGTCCTAACAAATATTATTAAGAGTATTTAATGAATTATGTTTCAGGGTTCACCTAGAGAGAGAAGAGGTAGAGCTGAACAATGAAAGGAAAGGTGGAGTAAGAAAAGAAGAAGATGAAAAACTAAAAGAAGTATCGAGGATGAACCAAGAAACAAATTTTAAACATGAAGAAGAAGTTTATCTTACAAACTTTGAAAATTGTGAAGAAAGTTTTCAGAATGAAAAATTGGAGGAAAATAAAGAAGAAGAAAAAACGAAAGAAAAACTATTTTTAAAAAGCAACTCGGAACAAAGAATGGAAACCAGAGAAGAAAAGGAAATAGAATCAATTTACTGTACAGATATAAGAATTGAAGATAATAAAGAAGAAATTTTCTTTCACAGAATTGAATTTGGAACGGAAAAAATTGAAAAAGAAAAATCGGAAAAAATAGAAAGTGAAAACGTAATGTCAAATGACAACATTGAAATGAAAACGGAAACGAATCCAGAAAACCTTGAAAGTACACACGTAATTCAGAACAATGTTTCTGAAGAACTGGAAAATATTGAGGATTTTTTGATCGAGAATTCTGCGGATTTTCCGATAATCAAACCGGAGAACTCGTTTGATCTGTGCACAGGACGGATTACTCCAGGTCCAGATTCAGACACCAGGATAAATATCCCTGAAGATGGAAAACTTATCGGAGCAGAGAGATTAGGAGAGAACGCAGAGTCAGCACAAAATACTGAGAAAGATGAAAAATTCAGAGAAATATTTGAAAATGAAAGTAAAGACAGTAACTCCGATGTACTCCGTCCTGAGCTAAATATATCCGTCCTACTTCAACCGGATAATCAGAATAGGATATTCAGACCTCCTAGGAACGTATAAATTCCAATCTTTAACCAGTTTATCTTATTAAAAAACTTGACCTTGTTTTGATTAAATTTAGAATTGGCGTCATGTTTTTATCCTCCAATTATTCGCTGTTGAAATACAACACTTGTCTTATAAAAAGTTGAATTTACACGTAAACTGAAATCAGTTTGTCACCGGTCAAGAATGGAGAACTCTTAGCTGCTGCACAGGCGGTTACAACCCAGTTTTCTCAAGCCCTGGATCCTGTAACCAACCCTGATATTAGACGAACCCTGAGCCGTCCTGCATCCTCCCGAAGTACACGTGAAGGAACTCATCAAGTTCCCGAGATTGTTCCGTTTGAGCCTGATCAACTGTACTCGTCCTGTAGGAGAATAGAAATGGTTTCTCTTGAGGATCCTGTACTCCCTGTATCCGATAAACCTAAAACAAATCTTCCATCAGAGGTATCCTGTTTGTCTCCACCTCCTCCTACTCCTCCTCCTATACCTGATCCAACCCTCACATCAACGGTACTCCAGGAGTTACCTCCTCCACCTCCTCCTAGTCATCAAACCAACCTGGAGCAAGCTGAAACCTGGTCTCTACCTAGTCCTCCACCTGAAGCAAGATCTGAAAGAACTCCACCCCGTCCTGCTCCTCCTCGACCTACATCTCCTCCAGCTCCGATACCTCCACGACGAAGTACATCACACTCCTGGATAAAAGGAGGTTTTGAGTCTCCCTCCACTCCTAGAAGAGGAGTTAGTTTAACTGCTCTTACTCATATAGGACTTAGCTCTCCTTCCACTCCTGCAGATTTTATTTCTGCTCTAGAAAGTTTAATTCCTACTCCATCGGCTTCAACTCCCACTCCCATTGATGAACCAGAGTCTATTTCTGTTTCTTTAGGTTCAACTATTACTACTTCAAGTTCAACTTCTACTCTAACAGGGTTTTTCCCAAATCCTCCAGGTTCAGTTTCAACTCTGGGTAGGATGAGCTCTACACCTACTCCTGGAAGAATCACTCCAAGTTCTGGTTTGGTTTTGACCCCTACTCCAGCATGTTTCACATCTAATCCTACTTCTAGTACTATAGAACCATCATCTACTCCTATTCATATTACAGTACAAACATCATCGACTCCTACTCCAAGTTCTGCAAGACCATCAGCTACTCATATTCTTAGTTCTGGGAGACCATCATCTACTCCTACTCCTAGTTCTGCAAGACCACCATCTACTCCTACTTCTAGTTCTGCAAGATCGTCATCTACCCCTACTCCAAGTTCTGCAAGACTATTATCTAGTTCTACTACTTTTGAAGAAGGAATCATATCTACCCCTACTCCTATTAAAGAAGGACTATCATCTACTCCTCCTCCTATTAAAGAAGAAACCTCATCTACTCCTACTCCTATTAAAGAAGGACTATCATCTACTCCTCCTCCTATAAAAGAAGGAACCTCATCTACTCCTACTCCTCTTAAAGAAGGACTATCATCTACTCCTCCTCCTATAAAAGAAGGAACCTCATCTACTCCTAATCCTATTGAAGAAGGAACCTCATCTACTCCTACTCCTATAAAAGAAAGAACCTCATCTACTCCTACTTCTTATTCCACGCAGCTAACATCAACTCCTCCTGCTCGACGAAGACTAATAGTCCGAGCAGTAAGGACTCCTAGCCCAAGCCCTCCACCACCTACTCAAGCACTACGAACAACAAGTCCAAGCCCTACACCCCCTTCCCTACCTTCCACCCTTCCTCCTCCTCTTCCTACACTTCTAATCAAAACAGAGGTGAGTTTGTTTAAAAATATCTATATATACATAACTAGGCTTTTAGGGCGCTTCGCGCCCATCTTCTATTTAAATTGTGAACATGTTCTTTTTGTTTACGTTTTAAAACAAAGAAGAAATTTTTTTTGCTGATTTAAAAAAAATTCGCGGCTTTTCAAGAATTTTTTTTTTTTACAAAATTAAAACCTTTAAAGCACATTTTTTTTAAATTTTTATCATTCATAAACCTTCCCTGTGATCACGTGATGTCCCACAAAAAATTTGGGCCCGATCGGTTCAGCCGTTTTGACGTTTATTGGATACAAACAAACAAACAGACAGACAGACAAGCCAAATTTATATATAGAAGTTCAAATCTCTTTTTGTCTGTCTGTCTATCTGCCTGTTTGTTTGTCTGATCACAACTTAGGAACCCCTGTATCAAATTTTTGATTGGGGAACTCAGAAGACCCACGGGAATGTTCTTAGTTTGGTTTTGAGATTCTAAGTTGAGTGTGTCGACTTTTATAGCGAAAATTCAGTTTCCTGGTAAAATCGTTCAAATGCGGGTGAACGTGTAAAAGGGAGAAACCTTTATTATACTGGGATGCGCTGGGTTCCCAAGCTAGTATATATAAAAAGTAGTAATCTCTGTTTGTTTGTTTGTATGTCCGATCATAACTTAGGAACTCCTTGACTGATTTATAGAGATAGTTCAGTTTCTGGCAAAGATGGGTTCCCAAGCTAGTTTATTAATAAAACTATATAAATCCATTATTTCTCCTCTCCCTACAATTCAGTTCACGCCCTATATATAAATGTATAAAATATATATACATTTACCACAGACTACACAGACTGCTCATACACTCTACCTGGATAGGCTGAGCAGGCCTATAGTGTCCCGGCACGCCATGCTACGGTTCCATGTAATGTTCTTGACTGACATCTCTTGGCCACTTGTTGCATTCAGGGGTTAAGTTTTACAACTTTTAAAGAAATACTCCAATTTTAAACATAAAACATAACGTTTATGAATATTGTCTATTTTTAAAGATTTTGCATTTCCTATTCAAAGGATCCTTAAATATCCCTGATGACTCCTGATTGGTCGTGTACAGTACTTGTACACAATAGAACATGGTGTGGGAAATATCGCATATTATAGGTGTTAATCAATCTCTGTAACTCTCTTATCTCTGACCTTTGCATAACCGGAAACAATTCTCATTCATTAATGAAAATATATTCCATAACACTGGACTATACTAGACTAAACTATAGTACACTACTGAATAATGATATGGGCTATTTTAAAATCTATTACTACTAGGATACTTTGCGCGCACCTCTCTAAAATCAATTTCATTTAGCAAATGTTTCTTTTATAACTCCGTAATAACAGTTTAAGAATTTTTCTTGTTTTCATAAGAGTCCCTACAGAAATTTGTGCCCGATCGGTTCAGCCGTCTGTTGGATACTAACAATAAATAGCGAAATGGCTAAAGATTTTAAGCCAAAATTTTGTGTGGGACCCAACATGGCCCCAAGGTTGGTTAAGGTTTAGAAAAGACCTCTCACTTCAAATATTCTGAATAAGTGTACTTTGAAACTTGACAAATAAACAGGAAATTCTGCTATTACTGTTTTATTGTGAACGAAATAAAACTTACAGAAAAAACACAATAAAAGCAAGTTCAATATTACGAAAAAGTATATTGACTATATAAGGCCAAGAAGCTCTTTGAAACATGTAATATTATGCATAAATAGCTAACTAAAAAATATACATGCTCTGTAAGAATTTCTGCTGAAAATATCGTAAAAAGAATTACTAAACCTAATTTTAATTTAATGAATCACTCGGTAATTTTAATGATTTCAAAAAGTTTGAGAAAATAAATAAATTTAGATTATGCATTCCAGTATTTGTTATATTTTTAAAACATTTTATATTTTGGAACAATAAACTTTTAACGGTTATGCCGGAGTACAGATTTAAATAGATTCAATCTATTTAAATAACTAAACACTGTATTTAAATAAAACGTGTTGCTGCAATTAAAACTAAAAATGTCAATATTTAAAATAGTTGAATACTGAACAGTGTGATTAGTGTATCGTGTAGTAACTGGCCCTCAGTCCAGATCAAATACTAGTTTAAACAACATCTAAACTTTTATACTTATTTTTTAATTGCGTCTTCTAACCAAGCACGATTTAATATTTAGTACAAGTTCTATACAGATGGGACAAACAGTCTGTTTGAAAAATACTAGAAGTTCTGACAAATACACATTTAAAGATAGTGCTGATACAATCCTATATAAATATGCAGTCTGCTGATACAATCCTATATAAATATGCAGTCTGCTGATACAATCCTATATAAATATGCAGTCTGCTGATACAATCCTATATAAATATGCAGTCTGCTGATACAATCCTATATAAATATTCAGTCTGCTGAAAAAATCCCTTATATATATACACTTTGCTGACATAATCCTAATACAGAGTGCTGACACAATCCTATATATACAGTGTGCTGACACAATCCTATATACACAGTGTGCTGACACAATCCTATATACACAGTGTGCTGACACAATCCTATATAAACAGTGTGCTGACACAATCCTATATATACAGTGTGCTGACACAATCCTATATATACAGTGTGATGACACAATTCCATATATACAGTGTGCTGATATATACAGTGTGCTGACACAATCCTATATATACAGTGTGCTGACATATTTATAAAAATAGTATGTAGTATAATGATTTTCAATTATCTATTTAAAGGAGATGATGTGCTCTCTGCCTCCTGAACCTATTCCCGGGTTCGGAATCTATCCCAGCGGAGTTTACAAAGCAGTGCCTGTTAATGTTGATGAAAATATGGAAGACGACATTGCATATTCCTACGGTGAGCTAATGAGCTAATTTTGCATCGGAAAATATTGTTTTACAAACTTGTTGAGTATGCACTTTTTACTCCAATTTTTATTGAAAACACATTTTGATGCAACAAAGTTAAAAATAAAAATAAAAAAGCAATATCAATTTTTATAAATTCTCAAAAACAAAAAGCTGTTTTCTTTGTATACATAACTTTGGAATAAAATATCGACAATTAGGATCAGTTTAACTTAAAATGTTGAATTCAGGCTACTGGGAACCCTATTAAAAACATTAAATTCACATAAGATGGGTTAAATGTCGTCTTCTTATTCCTAAGTTTAAAGGGTCCTACTGTAGTCCAGTATCTGCATATATTCTAAAGCATATTTAACATATATATATATATATATATATATATATATATATATATGTACTGTTCAGGGACCAGTTCGGAGAATGTTTTCAAACTCCAGGAAGAGAAGATTATCGAGGCAACCAGGAGAAATTTTCTCACAAACATGCTGGTGTCGACGGAGCTAAACTTGCAGGGGTTGGACGAGAACTCAATCAGGATTAAACTAGCAAAACAACAGGAAGAGGCAGAACGAATAGTTTTGAAAAAGAAAGAAGAAGAAGAACGAAAGAGGAGAGAGGCAGATATGAAAAGAAAAAAAGAAGAAGCAGAAGCGTTAAAAAGAGCAGCGGAATTAAAGAAAAAAAGAGACGAGGAAGACAAAATTCTACAAAAAGAAATCCAACTGAGAAGATTTAGGAAAGAGGAGGAAAGAAAAAAAATTGCAGAAGAGCAAAGAATTCGAGAAGAAGAGAAAAAGTTTCAATATGAAAGAGAAAGGAAAATGCGGGAACAATTAGAAAAAATGCGGCAAGTAATGTTTGAAAAAGAGCAAACTGTTGAAAATGAGAGGCGGGAAAAACTTGAAGAATTTCACAAGAAGAAAGAAGATCATTTGTCTAAGATTGGGAGCAGGTCACCGTCTATTGCCTCCTTGGACTTTCTAGGAGCTAGATCACCTTCAGGAGCAATGGTGTCATCTCCTTTACCATCTTTTAGATCATCTCCAGATCTGAATTCAAACAATAAATTTAAAAATTCTAAAATATCAAACGTCACGTCAACTCATTCTTCCGCAAGTGTAGTTAAATCTTCCGCAAGTGTTATTCAATCTTCTGCCAGTATAAATCAATCTTCTGCCAGTGTAAATCAATCTTCTATCGGGGAAATCACATCTTCTACCGATGTTAATCCTTCTTCCTCAAGTCTAAACCAAAGTTCTGCTCGTGAAAACCAGTCTTCAATAGAAAATAATACTCTGCTTAACCTAACCAACCCTACTAGTGATATTAACCCTGTTCAAGTGTTTAAAGATGAATCAAATACTCAAACAGAAACTTCTCTTTCGACGGAGAAAAAGCAGAACCTGAAAAATCTTGAATTATATTGTCCAGAAAACTACAAACCTGCGAAAAAAGATATCAATTTAATCACGAACCCGGCGAGCTCTGAACCTAAACTATCTCCAAAGACCAGTCCTTGGATGACCCGGAGTCAGCAACCCTCTCCAATAACTATCTCCGAAAATGTCAGGTTCACAAACAAGTATCTTCTAAAATCCCGGAAACCGGATATAAACGCAAACATTTTCATAAATAACGAAGATCATCAAATCCACTCTTCTCTACGCTGGAAAGATGTTCGAACTGGTTTAGTGAAGGATAGAGCTACATCCTATCTTAAACCAGACAATTATAAATCCTTCTCTCCTCTCAACTCTCCTAGAATACAGAAAAGAATGATTATCACAGGGTCAGATCTGGAGGATAAGGAACACCTGACCCAACCCAACCATGTATATTCAAGCAATAATAAATATGTAGATGGTCCAGTACCCTGGAGAAAAGAGGAGAGGAAAAAAGATGTAAAATCTCCTATCTTAAATCTTCTGAATGTATCAGGTAAAAAAATAGCTTAACCTCTCCCAGTCCCCACTTCCCCAAAACTTGAAAAAAATTACATTGAATTTGATACAATTAAGCTAAAGTGCAACTTCTTCACTCGAATAAAGTCCAATCTGCATTTACACGCAAAGGAATTGAGTTTTTGCAACAAACTCTGACTTTCTAATCCTTATATCTTTGCAACCCGATGTTTCAGAACTTGGACATTTCAAACTTTGAATTCGGTTAGATCAAATAGTCTAGGTTTGAAATATCAGGCTGCGAAGATATTGGGATAAGAAAATTTTTAGTTTGTGGCAAAATCTCAATTTCATTTTAAAAGATTACAGAATCAATTTTTGCTATGCTTTGAGTATTCTTCACACTTTTTGGCGATAAAGCTTGAAGATTATCTAATATAAGTTGTGTTTATGTAAATGACTTAAAATGTCTGTAACCGAATACATTGTTTTCTTCCAACAAAGGTTCATGACAAGAAATAATTGATCAATTAAATTCCTAGACAGTAAATTCCTGATTTTTAAATGAGTAACATTCTTTGAGAGATGTTTATTTTTAATGAATTTGTCCAGGTTTATTTTTATTTATATATCTATAATAGATTTACATTGGGCTTCATGCTTCCTCTCTCTCTATTAATAAATTAAAAAATTTTCCCGCTGATCTATCTGCAAACCTTTCTATTGCGTACATAGCCTGTAATAACAATGAAAAAAGAAAAATCTGTGATATCTTAAAATTCTTATTCATTTATGCTGTCGGAGGAAAGATCAAAAATGGTAAAGGCTATAATTTTTGTACTTTAAACTTTGATTTTCTGATATGTAGCAGAACTCGTAGTTTGAAATATCAAAGATGGTTCAACATCAGGTTCAAGGATGTAGGGATTAGGATTGGTTTGTGAAAACCAATTAGTTCTTTCAATTTTCCAACCTTTTAAAAAAAAGTTTATTGTTTTAGTCTCTGGATCCGGTATCCATCCTCAAGATGAAATTATCCAAGTTGTGGATCAAAGATCTCAGATAAGAGAAGAACATATAGAGAAGGTTTTAGCTCCAGGTACCAGTCAAATCTCAATACCGGAGTTGAACCCTAAACCTAAGGGTGGAACCGAGGCTGTTGCTAATCTAGACGAGACCCTGAGACTCCTGCAAGCTCATGTATCATCTTTAGGAAAAGGTCTAAACAGCTTCAAAGTTTATATTTTGTATTCTTCTTTGTTTCTAACTGATCATTTATACATTTAAAGAGACTGTTCGCGTAATTAGTGATCCTTTATTTATAGATTTCCGATTCAAATCAGTACTCTTATCCGATCAGAGCTGAAAACTTTTGAATGGAATATCCTTAATCTCGATTGGTTAATTAATCTGGAGATTAATAACTGAGGAGAAAAAGTATTATTTATTCTTGAGATTAAGAAAAAGAGGAGATCAAGCATTAATCTCGATATCCACCATTCTAAAGTTTTCAGCTCAGGAAGGAATTAGATATTCAAGTTTTATTTTTAGAAAAATTATTATTTTCAATTTACCTCACTCTATTAAAGTGACTTACATTTCGGCTGAAGTCACAAATCACTAATCACTAATCACTAATCACTAATCACTTATCACTTATCACTAATCACTAATCACTAATCACTAATCACTAATCACTAATCACTAATCACTAGTCACTAATCACTAATCACTAATCACTAATCACTAATCGCTAATCACTAATTACTAATTACTAATCACTAATCGCTAATCGCTAATCACTAATCACTAATCACTAATCACTAATCACTAATCACTAATCACTAATCACTAATCACTAATCACTAATCACTAATCGCTAATCACTAATTACTAATTACTAATCACTAATCACTAATCACTAATCACTAATCACTAATCACTAATCACTAATCACTAATCACTAATCACTTTAGAGAAATGTTCAGAATTCAACATTTTTTCAAGCTGGAGAAACAACGATATGAAAACATCATTGATCAGATATTGGTGTCAATTTAAAATTAATATTACCATGTAAGAAAAATGAACTGTATTTTATTAAACATATTTAACCACATTGCAACCAGGTTTCTCTTAAATTTCATAGAATTATTAACTAAACAACAATTCTTGTAAATTCTGCGAACATATTTTAAATTATTATGAGAACCAGAAAACTGTGGAAACGGAAGACGACAATAAAGTAATTTTTAAGTGCATTTGACGTTGTTACAAATCTAATAGTTTTACAAGTATAGGGTGTCCCAATAAACATGGGAATTCAGTGACAAATTGGAAATCATCTTTGTTATGAATTAGCATTTCTTAAACCATAATATTATTATGTCTGCTAGAGTTTATTTTATGAAAAGGGTAAAAGACTGTAAAGATGTATCTATAATGTCTCCGCAAGATGAACAGTGAAGACGGACAAGTTTACTCTGTTTGTATACTGCAATATTCTTGTTTTACTAAGTACAACCGTATGCAATCAAAACATAAACATGAAAGAAAATGTGAACATAGCAGACCAAAATCATACGGATTACGCTTTCTCAGTAGGTATCCCTATACTAAATCAAAGAATTATTTATAAATACGATATTGAATTCGTCACTGAATTCCCATCTTTATTGGGACACCCTGTATCTTTAAATTCCTTAATAAGTGAAATGGGTGTGTGTACACTAACATAATTCGATTCTAAAAGTATTCTTTCAATTCCACAGTTTTCTGGTTCTCACTGTATATATAACATTAGTCAAATTACAAAAAAAATCCACTCATAAAAAAGGCATTTTAGAGTTTTATTGCTCTTTCTAGATTTTTCCAAAAAAGTTTTAAAAATCTAACTTGGGCCTTTATTCTGTAGAGAGCACACAGCATCCTTCAATAAACCAATCTACTGATGATATTATTGAATCTGCTGCTACTACTGTTAAAGATACGGCTGGAGCAGTCAAGAATCTTGCTCAATCTTTACTCCGAGTTATAACTCCGGAGCTAGGGAAGGAAGGAAGAAAGGATGGAGAGTCTTCACAAAATCTACAAAATATTAAGGTTAAGAATCTAGTTTTTGTTTATATTTTCCTACTCTACTCTATAACTACTCTCTGAGCACTCTGAACCAAAAAGTTAAATTCCGTTCATTTAGGATGATTTCAAAATGCAAATCAACCCACTAACATGTATGTTTCTTTTTATCTATAAATCAAACAAAGTAAAACAACCTCCCCCACCCTAAAACAATAGATTCATTCCTAGGATGCAATTGCCGGAAGGGGTTCCTTAACTCTGGGTGGTATTGGAGAACTTGAGGGTGATCAAGGTACCCTGAGAAGGTTTGCTCGAGGACGGCCTAGGATGGTTGTTGCTGAGGAGGAGGACGAGGAAGAGGATAGTATTGGTTACGAGGACGATTTCTCAATAGGGATAGATCTACCTTTACAGCTAGACGTAACATCAGGTCCCTTATTTTATTCCAGAATATTGTTTTAGAATCGTCCAACTTGATTAAGAGTCGTCCATCTTGGTTTATAATCATCCAGTTTGTTGTAGAGTCGTTCATATTGTTTGAGAACCTTCCATCTTGTTTCCGAATCGTCCATCTTATTTTCGAATCGTCCATCTTATTTCCGAATCGTCCATCTTATTTTCGAATCGTCCATCTTATTTTAGAATCGTCCATCTTATTTTAGAATCATCCATCTTATTTTCGAATCATCCATCTTATTTTCGAATCATCCATCTTTGTTTTAGAAACGTTCATCTTGGTTTAGAATCGTCCATATTGGTTTATAATCGTCAATCTTGGTTTAATACAGTCAATAATGTTTCAGGATTGTCCATCTAGGTTTAATACAGTTAATAATGTTTCAGGATTGTCCATCTTGGTTTAATACAGTCAATAATGTTTCAAAATTGTCCATCTTGGATTAATACAGTCAATAATGTTTCAGAATTGTCCATCTTGGATTAATACAGTCAATAATGTTTCAGAATCGTCCATCTTGGTTTAATACAGTCAATAATGTTTCAAAATCGTCAATTTTGATTTAATACAGTCAATAATGTTTCAGGATTGTCCATCTTGATTTAATACAGTTAATAATGTTTCAGGATTGTCCATCTTGGTTTAATACAGTTAATAATGTTTCAGAATCGTCCATCTTGGTTTAATACAGTCAATAATGTTTCAAAATCGCTAATGTTCTGTTTTTGGAAAATCTTTATTTTTCTTTGCTTAAGGAAATGTAACTCCTATACCAACAACAGGAGAACTAGAAGAACTAAGTTCTATAGAAGAAACCACAGTTATCGAGTTCATACCTCAGGATATACCTAGAGACAATCCTCCTCACAACCTACCAATAATCACTGGGCCCCGGATCCCGGTTGAAATGAAGGATAATGTGGTTGAAGACCAGAACCCTGATACCCGTCCAACCAGTAGATCAACACCACTCAAATCCTTGCTGAAGAAACCTAGCGTAGATGTAGATTCAGATTCGGATTCAGATTCAAACGAGGGAAATATCAGTCCTAAGAAGGTTCATTTCTCCGAGATTGATCAGATTAAGTTGATGTCTCAGGATTCATTGTCTTCAATGGCGGCCTCTGAGAACCAAGATTTCTTGCCAGTACAGTTGTGTACAACTGTACTAACCAGTACACCAGTTCCTTCTGTAGTTAGGTTAGTAGCTCCCTGCCAGTACAGTTGTGTACAACAGTACTAACCAGCACACCAGTTCCCTCTGTAGTTAGGTTAGTAGCTCCCTGCCAGTACAGTTGTGTACAGCAGTACTAACCAGTACAGTTACACCAGTTCTCTCTGTAGTTAGGTTAGTAGCTCCCTGCCAGTACAGTTGTGTACAACTGTACTAACCAGTACACCAGTTCCTTCTGTAGTTAGGTTAGTAGCTCCCTGCCAGTACAGTTGTGTACAGCTGTACTAACCAGTACACCAGTTCCTTCTGTAGTTAGGTTAGTAGCTCCCTGCCAGTACAGTTGTGTACAACAGTACTATCCAGTACACCAGTACCCTCTGTAGTCAGGTTAGTAAATCCCCGCTATAATACAATGTACAATTGTGACTTTGACCGGTGGAATTGTGTAAAAAGAAAGACGACTTTTGATTTTTAAAGGTAGTGACCGGCTATGTAAGGTAGTTGAACTGAGTATGCAATGTTGTGGAAACCTTCGGATTCTTTTGAGACATAAAAACTTTTAAAGACCTGTAAATCCGGAGTTTGAGCGCAAATTCGATGCTCAAAACTCGTACGTTTTCAGAATTATTTTTTTTAGTTATTAAATAACGACGACATAAAATGTGAAGAAGTTCTACAATAAATAAACTACAGACGTCATGTATAGGAACATGTTGAGAAAATAAAAATTAATCTTATCATCGAAAATAAGTAATCTTATTCAATTATTAGTTTCCATTATCGCATTATTCTGGTTTCTTATTATTCACAAACATTTTCGCAGGTTTTCTAGAATTATTATTGAAAAGACGACATTTGAAGAATTTGAAAAAATCTGCGAATACATTCAAAGAAAATTAGAAATTCAGTATAATAATGAAAACGAAATAATCGATTTTAGCATTGATTTATTGAAAAATTTCTTTTGAGAAATATGTTCCTAACCATCCAATTAGATTACTGTATAATTTTTACTTTATTTTTCGTAGTCGTTATTTAATAATTTAAAAAAACTAATTCTGAAAGCGTAGCCACCCCCAAAGTAAGAGTTTTGAACGTCGAATTTGATCTCAAACTCAAGATTTACAGATCTTTAAAAAGTTTAATATGTCTCAAATGAATCCGAAAGAAGTTTACCACAACACTGCATACTCAGTTCAACTATCTTACATAGCCTGTCACGGTGCAATGGAAACGCCTCAACACGAAAACGTCTCAACACGGAAATGCCTCAAAAAAAGCGGAAACCCCTCAAAACCCGGTTTTTTTGAGGCGTTTCCGTTTTTTTTGAGGCGTTTCCGTTTTTTGAAAAAAGTTTTTAAGCGTTTCCTCTTTTTTTTTGAGGCGTTTCCGATTTTTAAAAAAAACTTTTAAAACTTTATTTTGTTGAGGCGTTTCCTCTTTTTTTTGAGGCGTTTCCGTTTTTTAANGGAAATCCCTCAAAAATATTGGGAAATTCCTCAAAAATAATTGTCAGGTGAAAAGCGGAAACCCCTCAAAAATTTTAGGAAACGCCTCAAAATAAAGAGGAAACCCCTCAAAAACTGGGTTTTGAGGGATTTCCGTTTTTCTTGCAGAAATTGCGGAAACGTCTCAAAAAAACCGGTTTTTGAGGGGTTTCCGCTTTTTTTTGAGGCATTTCCGTGTTGAGACGTTTCCGTGTTGAGGCGTTTCCATAGCACCCTCCCAGCTTATCATGGCCCACAACTGGTTCATCAAAACTCAAAATTTCAAAAGTTATTTAATTGTCTCGTTTAACAAACTTTCCTAAAATGATCATCCTAACCCAACTTATTTAGCAAAAGATGTCCGTGTCAACAGCACAATTAATGTATCAGTGCATATCTCAATAGATCGTGTTTCCCTTTAAACATGAATATTTCCTAATAAGAAAACGGTATTTTCTATAAATATTGCTACATTCATTGGCGAGTCTAATTTTCCATTTTGATTCTTGGAACAATCATTTTAAATTTTGATGTACAATTCGTCATCTAACATTAAAGACGATTTTTATTTTCCTCTTGATTATAATATTTTGTGAGACACACTGTACGTATACAGTGTACACTTCCATTATTGTAATCCCAAGGGTTTGCTTTTCTAAATCCTATATGTTAGTCCTTTAAAACCGATACTTCTAGAGCCGAAGAAAATGATAATCTTTCAGTCGATTTTGTTTAAAATTTAGATAAGTAATATCGGTTTTAGAATTTACGATTTCCAGAACTGTGGAATAAGAAGACGACATTATTGGCCAATTTCTTATTCATGTTACCATTGGCAAAACTATAGGTAGTATATATCTATCTACACTGCTCTGTCAAAGTGTAACCATAGTGTGACATATACGGTTCTACCCATGGTTGAACGTCTAAGAAATTGGCCATATAGCAATACTGAACTGTATTTGATGCTGATACAAAGCAATTACTAGTAACTTATTCAATCTCTCATTAAGCTGGACAATTGCTGTGTCTCATGCTTATTGGACTGTTTAAAGTCATAACTTGAGTTTAATAGTACGCTTTTTATTCTCGAGTTTTCTTGTAAGAATTCATTCTTTAACCTGAGCTGAAAACTTTAGAATGGTGAACATTGAGATTAATGCTTGATCCTCTCTTTTTCTTAATATCTTAAATTAGAAAAACCTGCTTTTGATTTTCAGACTAAATAAAAAATATTTCAATATCTAGGATTATAACCAGCCGACCAGCTGTACCGGAGACTAACGGAAACGTATATATCGAGAACCAAGTTCCAACTTCATGAATCCTGCCAGTGAAGTGAAAGAAATTTTGACATCTCCGAATGTGAACGTTAGAAATATTTTTCGAGTTGTTATAACAGAAGAACATTTAGTTAGTCTAAATACACTCTCGAACTGATCTGAACATTTTTCAAAATCAAAATTTTCTGGAATCTTATTTTTCTTTAATGAATTCTTACTTTTCAATTTACAAAATTTATAAATCTGTTTCCTAGCATTAAAATCTGAATTTTCTTGCGTAATTTTAGGCAAAAGATCCTTCCTTTTTAAACATGGTTTCATTTGTTTGCGCTGTCCTTGTAGAAAATAAATATTATTTAAATAAGTATTAACTGACTAATGTACCAAACTTATATAAACAATAAATTTTAACTCTACCAAACTTTTTAATAGAAACATACTATTTATTCATAATCAATGTAAATCAGGGTTTGTCAAAGTTCTTAAAAAATACAAAATAAATTTTGAGGACATAATACTTACAGATCAGAATTTGTACCATTGTTTATAACTGTACTTGGTTACACGGCTAATGCTGCCGGACAAAGGAAGAACCAGCTCCGGAGGATTTAACACGCTTCTTACTTTTAGAGAGATCAGTAAACCTAACTGGATCCTTCTTTATGGGGGATATAACAGGTTTACGGACTGGTGGAGATTTGGCAGTAAGCTTGACGATATGAACAGAAACCTTGGCCGTCTTTACCTTGACATCTTTAGTCTTGGCAGGTTTAGCTTTTGAGACGGTGGATTCAGCAGGTTTAGCTTTTGAGACGGTGGATTCAGCAGGTTTAGCTTTTGAGACGGTGAATTCAGCAGGTTTAGCTTTTGAGACGGTGGATTCAGCCGGTTTGGTATTTGGTATAGTAGATTTTGCAGGTTTGTCACTCAGACCTGTACATGTAGCCGGTTTGGCACTCAGAACTGTAGATTCAACTGGTTTGGCACTGAGACCTGTAGGTATAGTAGGTTTGGCACTAGGAACTGCGGATTTGGTAAGTTTGGGCGCCAAAACTGTAGATTTAGTTGGTTTTACTCTTGGAACTGCAGATTTAGTAGATTTGACACTTGAGACTTCAGATTTGGTAGGTTTTGCACTCAGACCTACAGATTTAGTAAGTTTGGCGCTTGGAATTGTAGATTTAGCAAGTTTAGCATTCATACCCGAAGATTCAGTAAGTTTGTCGCTCCGACCTGTAGATTTAGCAGGTTTGGCATCCAGATCTACGGATTTAGTAGGTTTGGCGCTAGGAACTGCTGATTTAGTAAGTTTGGCCGCACAAACTATAGATTTAGTTGGTTTTGCACTTGGGACTGCAGATTTAGTTGGTTTTGCACTAGGAACTGTGGATTTACTAAGTTTGGCCGCCAAAACTGTAGATTTAGGTTTTACACTTGGAACTGCAGATTTTGTAGGTTTTGCACTCAGACCTATGGATTTAGTAAGTTTAGCACTTGTAGTGGTAGATTTAGCAGGTTTAGCATTCAGGCCTGAGGACTTTGTAGGTTTGGCACATGGAACTGATTTGGCACTTGGAACTGTAGATTTGGCACTTGGAACTGTAGATTTGGCACTTGGAACTGTAGATTTGGCACTTGGAACTGTAGATTTGGAAGGTTTGGCACAGACATCTAAAGATTAAAATGCAAGGGCGTAGACTGGATTTAATACGAGACTGGAGGGGATTAAGTAAATGAAAGGGGGATAGGTTTAAACCAAACTTCTAAGATATGATATATAAAAACATGTATTACCCTAATAACCGTCTGTTCTACAGAGGGTTAATTAAAATTTTTAAAGTTTGGAAGCCTGGGAGGGGTTAAATAATATTTCAATAGATCTTGTAGGTAGAAGGGGGGGGGGCTAGTTTTGTCTACGCCATTGCTGGACAAGTTTCGCACCGTAATCTGAGGACTTGGCAGGTTTAGTCATTGTAACTGATGTCGAACAGCTGGAATCTGTCTCTGTTAACTCTAGCAGCCAGCTGGGTTCAATCACAGTAACATCGCGCATAAAGGCTCTAAAAAAAAACAATATTAAACATTAAATTAGGATGACCCAGCGTTTACTTTTGGAATGAAAGCTAAAATTGAAACCTTGCTGTTTTTATCAGCAGGTTTCTTGACAACCTTCTGGATGTCCAGACCCCCCTCCCCTGAGTATAACTATATGTCTAGACAACCTACTGTGTATACCTGGATGTCTTGACAACCTACTGTGTATACCTGAATGTCTAGACAATAAACTGTGTATAACTGGATTTCTAGACAACCTACTGTGTATACCTGGATGTTTAAACAACCTACTGTATATACCTGAATGTCTAGACAATAAACTGTGTATACTTGGACGTCTAGACAACCCTCTGTGTATACCTGGATGTACAGCCTCCGGTGTAAACCTTGATGTCTGGACAGCTCCTCCTGTATATACCTGGATGTCCGGACCTCCTCCAGAGTAAACCTGGATGTCCGGACCTCCTCCAGAGTAAACCTGGATGTCTGAACCTCCTCCTGTGTATACCTGGATGTCTAAACAACCTCCGGTGTATACCTGATGTCTGAACTTCCTTTGTAAATCTGGATGGCTAAGACAACCTACTGTCTATACCTGGATGTCAAGACCACTTGCTCCTTGTATACCTGGATGTCATGACGACCTCATTGAAGACTATGGAAAGGGGGCTTCGATGATAAAGTGCGCTGCTCGGGTGAATGAACACAGTCTAGACAATAGAGGTATTGGTTAGGTTGGGTTTCTCACAAAAGATGATATTTTACGCTATTTATTTTACTAATGTCAAAAAATCGTTTTTATGAAGGTGACAAAAGTTAGCCTTCAGATTAAGATATCAAGAGTTGATAGGGTCGTCATCATTAATGTCATACCCTTTATGTGGGTTGTACTTTGCCTGTATACTTAATGCATTATGCTTATGGTTTTAGTAAAACAAAACAATTTTTTTAAAACATGAATTTTGTTACTTTCTAAACTCGAGCATAAAATATCAAGATTAAAATAATAGTAGATCACACTTGGAAATGCTCAGAATTTCAGAAGTATAACATCATTTTTAGCATGCACCGTGTACACATTATCCTTGATTAGATACTAGCTGAAGTGTCCGGCGTTGCCCGTGGAATAAAAACAAAAAATAAAAAATAAGTTTTGAAAAAATTATTTTTGATTTTTTTAGCCTATTTTACCTTCGGGATACCCCTGGGTTCCCCAAAAAAATTCAGCCCATTCGGTCCAGCCGCTTTTCCGGCTATAGGGAACATATATACGAATGTCTTGTTTTATCATATAGAAGTAGATAAAAAGATCAAACGCTATAAGTAAGTTCCTTTGTCATTTATCTAAATGGTATTTGTCCTAACCTCTAATCCACTTGTAATATAAGCTTTCCCATGAGTTCTTTTCGCCACATTCATCTTCAACCCGGAGAATATAGCTTTCTGCAACCTACACAGTACACAAGTGTTTGGGGTGTAGACTGTAGAACAAAAAGACAAAGAGAGAAAGATAGGACGGAGAGAGAGTAATATAGGACGAAAAGAAAAGAGATAGGACGAAGAGAGAGAGATAGGACGGAGAGAAGAGAAGGAAAAGAAGCTAATGTAGAGATGGGACGGAGAAGGGATGGAAGCTAATTTAGAGATGGGACGGAGAAGGGATGGAAGCTAATGTAGAGATGGGATGGAAGCTAATGTAGAGATGGGACAGAGAAGGGATGGAAGCTAATGTAGAGATGGGACGGAGAAAGGATAGAAGCTGATGTAGAGATGGGACGGAGAAGTGATAGAAGCTAATGTAAAGATGGGACGGAGAAAGGATAGAAGCTAATGTAGAGATGGGACAGAGAAAGGATAGAAGCTAATGTAGAGATGGGACGGAGAAGGGATAGAAGCTAATGTAGAGATGGGACGGAGAAGGGATAAAAGCTATTGTAGAGATGGGACGGAGAAAAGATAGAAGCTAATGTAGAGATGGGACGGAGAAGGGATAGAAGCTAATGTAGAGATGGGACGGAGAAAAGATAGAAGCTAATGTAGAGATGGGACGGAGAAGGGATTGAGACAGGATTGAACGGAACAAAGACAGGATGACAACGTTAAGATGAAACGGAGAAGGAAAAAAGAACGGGATTAGTCTACGTGTGACGAAACAGAGAATCTGTGGAGATGGGAGGGATCAATGAAAGTTAAGATTGTGTGGACGAAAGAGAGAATGAAATATCAGGATCTGTGAATTAATGACAGAAGTTCTTATTCAAAGAGAAACTGCCCAGAGACTGCTAGAAATGAATGAGACTAAAACCTTGTAGTGATGTAAACTGTTGATTTCATATTCAATCCTTGGCTCACCATGATCCTATGAAGCTGGTTCCTGATATCCTGACAAAACAAATTATATATTTAAAAATGGGTTTATCGTTTAAACAGGAAAGAAGTGTATGATTAATGAAAAAAAGGAAAAAATTATTAAAAATCATCGACTAGCTTTTTTATTTTATAACGTTGGTCTACGTTTATTTCAATACAATCAAGAAGACTTTTTAAAATAAATTGATTTTTAACAAAGATTTCTTCATATTACAAGTTTACAAGTAAAAGTTAAACGAGGCTTTTAATTCCATGATGTAAGCTTGGTAGACATCAAAATTTTGAATCGAAAGTCGTCTTCATTTGACTGATATTTACAACGCTGACTATAGTTTTACCTGTGCTATATAGAGGGTTTGTATCTGGATAAAGTTATCATAACACCATTCAGCACTAGAACAATCAACAATATGACCATTAGAGTCAATTTTAAAATATCTGACTCAGGATGAATTTTACCTGAGATTCTTCTCTTTCCATGTATTGTAGATATGCAGTAGAGTAAATAGATCCCCCTCAGCCTGGTTAAACTTTAACTAAATTCACAAGATATATATTTATACCCATTACACTGCAATTACCAAGTCTGCGTAAGTTAATTGTAAAAAATTGTGCAGTTTTTGCTGCAAAATTATGCTAATATGGTTTCCTATGGCATTTTTGCATTAATTCAAGCAAAACTATTTTCGTTTCAAATTTAGATTGAAAGAGAAAACAGAGGAAAGTATAACGCCAACCTTGGCCTTGTCAGCCTCTTCTAATTGATCCCTTGGCCTGGAGAAACAGGCCTGCTGAGTGGAGAGCATGGCGACAATGGTTAAGATCTGTTTGGAGCAGGAGAGGGTGGAGGACTGGATCAACATATTAGCCAAGGACGGATCTAGAGGATATTCAGCCATCTTTCTTCCATGCTCAGTTATCTTTCCTAGAAATAATAAAATATGTGCTTTCACAAAATCAAGTAAAATTGAGGATTTCCAATATCACCTTCGCTATCCAGTGCTTTCAGCTCCTTCAGACTTTTGAGAGCATGATCCCTTGCTTCTTCAGATGGTGGATCCATAAACTCAAACTCAGTCACATCTTCAATACCAATAACCTTAATAAAGATTGCATATCAGGAAACATCGTTTTTCTGACTCGAAAAATGTTTATTTCTCCGAAGTTCTACATTATTTATTTGAAGCAAGAAATGCGCAAGTTACTTTTGCAGATAAACCTCAAATGAAAATAAACAATATTAATAAACAAAATCATGGAGATCTATCTAACCAGCTTTATCAGTCAAAACTTTAAAGGGTACCCTTGTTAATTGGGAATAGTCTTTTCATGGAGGATCACTTGAATAGTACCTTTAAGTTTGTAACTCAATACTTTATATGATGAAAGAATTGAATATTAAGTGAATAAGTGAATACCTTCATCTGAAGGTAGGTTGAGGAGAGATTTGTTCTTTGGATTTCAGGCACAGGAGTTGATTCCATTTCTTCACTATAGAATTAGAATATATTAAAGAGAATGTCAATCTATTAGAATTAAATTAATTGCCCAACAAAAAAAGTTATGGGCATCTTAGATTTTTTTTTTAACAACGACGGGCATTGAAAATTTTTTTATTGCAAAACATTAATTACGATGCCTTCCAAAAAAAGAGGGGGGGGGTCGTCTAACCAACCTGTTTGGGATTAAATACCAATTTTTTAAACCAATAATTGAAAATACTACCAATAAAACTGCTCCGTGTACAATCTGTATGCTATCCCTGGACCAGTTCTGCCGGCCCGGCCCGACCTCTGGTCTGCCTCGGCCTGGGATATCTGGGAGAGCAGGAGGGAGTCGATTCCTTTACAGTGCTTGTAGCTGCTCTGCTTCACCTTGCCGGAGTCCACAACGTACATGATACCCTCGATGGTGAGACTAGTTTCAGCAATATTGGTAGCAATAACAACCTTCCTGGAACCACTGGGAGTTGGATCAAAAATTGCCATCTGTTTCTCTAAAACATAATTAGAATAAAAACTGATAGATTTTAGAAACTAATGAAATATAAGTACAAAAATACATTCCGGAGCAGATCAAACAGACAACAGGTCACACAGATAAAAAAGTATCAATTGTACAAAATTAAAGATCAACTTAAAAATAACAAGGTTAAAAAATTAAATTTTACAAAATCAAAGAGAAACATAAGACAAAAAATACTAAAATAAACAAGATTAGAATATTTATATGAATCAAGTAAAGAACTAACCAGCAGAAAGAGCGCCGTAGACCGGATAAATTATCAGTTTAATTCCAGAGTTAGATTCAACTTGTTCCTTCCTTAACAAATATACAATTATTCACAAAAGCTATATATAATACTCACCAGCTCCCCACAGTAGCTAATTTATATGGTAATAAGCTTGGGAACCCATGTATTTTAGGATATTTAAACCAAGCTATATAACATCTGTGATTTTACCAAGTTCCCTAATCAACATTTGAGGCAGATCAGATCAGCCAGGGTTCTCGTGAGATATGATAAAAACGAACAGACATCCGGAGATTACTACTTTTTATACATATATATTTGGATATTAATTATAATATGTTTAAGACCCCGGATCTGACTCCTAAGCTGAAAACTATAGACTCGAGTGGATATCTATATCAATGCCTGATAGTGATCTACTCTTTTTTTAATCTGTAGATTAATATAATCTTTATTTTGATTCAGGAAAGTGTTAAAAATTAACCAATCAGAGTGTCGTTTGATAAGCCGAAGAGCCAATCAGACGTCGTAAAATTTTACGCAAAATTAAAGAAAAAACTCTCATTGGTTGAATTAGGAACCCAGCAAGGATATCCAAAAGTGTTCACAGTGATCAAATACTATGGAGTATGACAATACTAGATCTAACCTTTCATTGAGTTTCTTACATGCTTCTTCAATTTCATCTTGTCCGGTTAAGAACACCAGAATATCGCCTAAACAACATTCAATTTAAAAATTTTTCCTTCCTTTTTAAATATCTTGTTACCTGGGGGTTGTTCTGTGTGAATCTGAATAACCGTCTCAATACTTGTTTTCATGTACTCGTTACATGGACTGGGACTTAACATGGAAATCATTTTGCAATAATTATTTATTCTAACTACAGGGGTGGTCCAAAAATATGCACTGCAAGGACGATTAAATATGCAATTACAAAGTTCGCATTGTTTATTAAATATCCGTTTTTGCCTTGAATATATTATTAAGTGGTGGTTTTTATTTTTCACTATATAAAGACCACTACACTGATATAATAAAATATTTACCTATATAAAATAGACACGGGAAACATTCTACCGTGAATATTGAACACAGGAGCCTAGGATTATGAAATACAACAGGAAATCTCATGAAATATAAAGTATACTGCAGTTTCTGGGAGAAATGTAAACAGAAAAAGTGCTGCCCAGCTTAGGCTTTGTTTACATACCTCCTAGAAACTGCAGTACACACCATTTTATAGAATAAACAAAGATAAGACTGAAGTCCACAAATTTGGTTGCATTGACACAGGCCCGGGGTCCAATATCAATATCAATATCTATTGATTCTTATTAAAATGATGGAGGTAATTTCAGGTTTATAAATAAAGGTAATTTCAGGTTTATAAATAGAGGTAATTATACGTTTATAAACAAAGGAAATTTCAGGTTTATAAATAGAGGTAATTATACGTTTATAAACAGAGGTAATTTCAGACATTAACCCTAGTTGCGCCTAATGATTCTTTAAGATCCAATACCTGAGAGAAGTATTCTTTAAACTTGTCAATATCCAGAGTTGCAGAGGAAATTACAACCTTGAGATCCGTCCGTTCCTTGAGAACCCTCTTCAGCAGAGCGCAGAGGAGATCAGTGTTCACAGTTCTCTCATGCGCCTCATCCACCATAATACAGCTGTACTTCTCCATCTTGGGGTCCGTTAGCAGCTCGCGGAGCAGTGTACCATCCGTCATGTACTTGATGATGGTGTTCTGAGAGACTAGTTTCTTGAACCTGACTGAGTATCCAACCTCCTCTCCCAACCTTAAATCCAATTGATATCAAGATCATATATAAATAAATCTTTCAAGTTAGTTAAAGGAGAAACCTAGTGGATCTAATGTCATCATCAGATAAAAACACAAATTGTCAAAAGTTTGATTACCAACTTAAAGCTTGCTATTCCTGATTTAATTTAATTATCTCTTCTCATTTTAGGGTAAAATCAAAAGAAATGTCGCCTAGGAGTTTTACAAAATAAATTTTTTTCACATTTCCTTCTCTTACACCAAGCCACATTTTAACCGTGAGAGAAAATCTATGTAAAAACTGAACCAAACACGGCAGTTTAAAACGATCGCTTTTTGGTTAGTTTAAAAAAAATATTTTCTCTTAGGCTAAAGATATTGCAAAGTTTAATGATATCAAACAGAATAGTTTTAAAATGTTTGAAGTTTTTCTGAAAGTTTTTTTAAAAAAAACAAGCAAATACGAATACAGATAATGTTGACATACCTGCAACCATACTCCTGTGCAACCCTGGTAGCCAGAGATATTGCAGCAACCCTCCTGGGCTGTGTACATCCTATAATACCTCGACCAGCGTAACCTGCCTCCACGAGGTATTGAGTAATCTGTGTACTCTTTCCACTTCCGGTTTCTCCAACCACCAACAGGACCTGGTTCTTATACAGAGCACGACGCAGGTCATCCTAGTAATTTGCAAAATTTTGCACATTTTAATTTTTTCTGTTCTTTCGTTCATTAAGTCCCTTAACTTAATCAAAACTATACTTTCGTCATCTAGTCTATTTTTCTTTGCATTTATTTGCCCCGAGTAGCTTATATATATTCCCTTTAATTGTTGCTAATTTGGTATTTTTTCTTTTTGATTGCGCGGATCTGCATATAGCGGATTTACATTGTTGTATAAATAATGTCCACATTTTATCTTATTATTGATTTATTTAGTTCGTGTATAACGCGCATACTTATCTTTTAGATCAATAAAATTGATAGAAGTAGTAATTTGGAAAATTTGTCAGATTTGGTCATAATTATCATTAATTAGAAAAAACCTATAAAAAAATTTAAGCATACTGATTATAGAACTGTTTTAAAGTAAAGTATTTAGTAGTTTTTCTCCGGCCGCACGAACTAACTATATATCTAGATGATAAATACACAATACTTGCCCAATACTTCTTTACAATACAAAACTTTATTCAAATTATTATTAATATTTTAACTATTTCAGTTTTCAGGTCCTTAAAACTTATATCACGATGTAGAGATCATTGAAATATGTTGTGATTGCACAAATATCGTTTTGTTCCGGTTTAACCGGATTTCATGTTGCTCAGGTTTAACCGGATTTCATGTTGCTCCGGTTTAACCGGATTTCATGTTGTTCCGGTTTAAACGGACTTCATGTTTATGCATTGAAATAGATTTGAATTTAATCCATTTTGCAAATATTTTGAGTACAAGGGACTGTTCAGTGCCTTATAAGATACAAATAACATGGTTTGGTTTCATTTCTAATAAATATGTTCTAAAACCCGTGTTTTCAGTGCTCAATATGAAGATTGCAGCATAAGGGGCCCAGGGGCGTATTCAGGAATTTGTCCAGGGGGGGCTTAAATTTTTTTCTCTTTCCAGGGGGGGTCAGCACCCGTTGAGGCCTGAAAACCCCCTGAATTCAATAGATTTCACTAGTCCAGGAGGGGTTTAGCCCCCATGCACCCCCCCCCTGAATACGCCTCTGAAAGGGCGATGATTTAATAGACTGGCAGTTATCAATATTCTGATTTCTGGCATCCTAATTAGTGGTCAGGGGCGAATACAGGTGTGGGCCATGGAGTGGCCGCTCGACACCCCTGAAGCTAAATTTCTCACCCCTGAGGCTGAAGTTTAAAGGATGAGCTAAGAAAAATAGACAGAAAATTCTGAAATTCCAAAGTTCAATTTGGTTAAAAATGAAATAAAAGACTGAAGAGTGTTTATTAACTGTTCAGTTTAATTTCACGCTCATATTGACTTCGTGATCTGGCTTAAATCTATGATATGTGATGTGAGTACTGTAAGACCACTGCTAAAAAATAGGAGAAAAAGGGCAATACAGAATTAAAACTGTTAAATTCTGAGGGTGAACCTCAACTTAGTATAATTACACCAGAAAACTTGGTCAAATCAAGGTTTATATTCTCTATAGTATTTCCCCTGCTGACCCCTAGGGGTAAGATCAGGGGCGGACACAGGATTTAAGTGAGGGGGTGGCAAGATTTTTTTAGGAACAAAAAAATTGATAATTGGGAACAAAATTAAAGGATTAGGACAGGGATTTAGGAACAATAAAAAGATTGTTCAGGAATTAGGAACAAAAATATAGGATTAGGACAGGGATTTCAGGTGGGTCGGACACAGTATTAGGAACAGGAACAATAATAGGAACATTAGCAATTTAAGAACAAAAAGAAATTACTAGTTTCTTACGAATTTCTAATTCTAAATTTATCGTTAACAATAACATTTACTTGTTGTCGTTGATTTTTAAATTAAACTTGAAGAAAAGACTCAAGATGTGCTGTGGTCCGCGTACCAATAAAACAAAACACAATGTCTGTCCGTATACTTACATCGTTGGTTATAAACTTATATTTATTTTTAACAAGCTAGAAAAATATTTCTTTCGTCCTTCTCTTCTGATGATTCGATTTTTCAATAAATATTAATTATTATATTTCCATTAAATAAAAAATAATCAAATAGCTTAAAATTGAAAAACACATACGATTTATCAAATTGGGAACATTTTTTGCCTCGAAATCTCAGGGGGGGGGGGCTACGCCCCTCCCTGAATCTGCCAGGGGGTGGCGAATGTCCCCCGCCACCCCCTGTGTCCGCCCCTGGGTAAGATAAGCTTAGCTGTTTTCATATAAATTCCAAATATTAAAGAATAGTTGTTTATATATTGAAGCATAGTTGTGTATATATTGAAGTATAGTTGTGTATATATTGAAGTATAGTTGTGTATATATATTTTTTATACCTTTACTTTGAAAATGGGTAGAGATTCTCTTTGATTTTTTAGTTTCTTCTTCCCTTTCTTTGACCAGCCTGATCCCTAAACATATATATGTATAAATATACTTTGCTTGTCGGTTTATCCAATAAACGTCAAAACGACTGAACCGATCGGGCCCAAATTTTTTGTGGGACCTCGCGTGACCCCAGGGAAGATTTATGGATGATCGAATTTTCAAAAATTTGCTTCAACAAACTTAAGATTTTTGAAAATTTTGAAAATCGAAATTTTTATAAACTCGGCGAATTATTTTTGTTTTACAATGTTTTCAAAGTGAAAATGTTCACAACTGAAATAGAAGGGCGCGAAGCGCCATAAAAGCCTAGTTTATCAAAGTTTTATAATTATTTTGTGTGCATCTAGATTAAAACTTAAACTTGACGGCAAAGTTGCTTCTCACGGCGAGGCTTTCAATACATGTTAAGTTTGTCCTTTAAAATTAAATTAATTCCATATACAATTTCAAAAATGTTGTAAGCTTAACACAGAAACTAAACCATTCCGAGGCGTTTAGGTGAAATATAAAGTTGTGAGCCCCCCAATTTAAGCAAAAGCATTATAAGGGTTGTTCTCCAAGAAATAACCCAAATTCCCTTTAAAGAGATGATGACATCATGAACACGGGCAGGGTCGCATTCAGGAATTTGCCTGAGGGGGGGGGGGGCATCAACCCCGTATTGTAGACCATTTATCACAACCCTCTATTTGAGAATTTGCGTCATTTCCTAGAGAACGATTTCTCTATGACAGATCCCAGAATTTGAACCTTGGATGAGATGGTGAGGTTCTCCAACCCGTTCTCTATGTCCCGCATCCTGTATAGTGTACCCTACAATCTGTCAGCTAATTTTATCTGAAAACAACAAGATAATTATTCTAAAATTGCAGAGATAAAAAGAGTAAATTAATCTCAGGTTTTGTTTCTTCTTCGTCTCATACTTTCGAACCCCTGGACTCTCTGGACCGATCAACCCCAAGTTGTGCTTAGTTCATTTAAAGGATGGTTGTTAGCTACATTTATTATTAACAACTTGAAAAGTTCGACTGTGGCAGACTGACAGCGGCAGGTCGTCTTCAGAGTTTAAGAAAGATGTCTGAAACATCAGAGGGAAACACTGGCACTTCTTCTAATTTATGTAGTTCAGTAAATAGGATGTTAATTTCTTCAAAATTTAAATATCCAGGGCGTCAAAAGAATGATAACCTTTCACTCTGAATAGATAATTAGATTGTGCTCTATATCTCAAACAGTACTCATTTACTCACAATGTATTGTGATATGTACAAATGTACAATGTACACTGTACAATAAACACTATACGCTGAACTCTCAATTTCAGGGGCGTTGATAGGCATTTGTCCACGGGGTGCTTAACCTGTACAAACTTTTACAGCTATAACGTTTTTAGCATTAATAAAAAAAGGTAAAAATGTGGATAAGATGTGGTAAAGATGTGGTAGAGATGTGGATGAGATGTGGATGGAGTGGATGAGATATGGACGAGATGTGGATGAGATGTGAATTAAATATGAATGAGATATGGGCGAGATATGGATGAGATATGGACGAGATATGGATGAGATATGAATGAGATATGGATGAGATGTGAATGAGATGTGTATGAGATATGGATGAGATATGGATGTGATATGGATAAGATGTGAATTAAATATAAATGAGATATGGACGAGATATGGATGAGATATGGACGAGATATGGACGAGATATGGATGAGATAGGGATAAGATATGGACGAGATATGGATGAGATATGGATGAGATATGGATGAGATATGGATGAGATATGGATGAGATGTGGATAATATGTGAATTAAATATGAAGGAGATATGGATGAGATATGGATGAGATATGGATGAGGTGTGGATGACAAATAGATGACATATGTATGAGATGTGGATGAGATGTGGATAAGATATGAATGAGATGTAAATGAAAAATGGATGAGATATGGAAGACACATGATTGAGATATAGATTCTAATCTAAAGATATGAATGAGATGTGGATGAGATATGGATGAAATATGGATGAGATATTGACGAGATATGGATGAGATATGGATGAGATATGGATGAGATATGGATGAGATATGAATGAAATGTGGATGAGATGTGGATGAGATGTGGATAAGATATGAATGAGATGTAAATGAAATATGGATGAGATATGGAAGACACATGATTGAGATATAGATTAGATATGAATGAGATGTGGATGAGATATGGATGAGATGTGGATGAGGTGTGGAGGAGATATGGATGAGATATGGAAGACACATGATTGAGATATAGATTAGATATGAATGAGATGTGGATGAGGTGTGGATGAGATGTGGATGAGATATTCATGAGATGTGGATGAGATGTGGATGAGATGTGGATGAGATGTGGATGAGATGTAGATGAGATGTGGATGAGATGTGGGTGAGATGTGGATGAGATATGGATGAGATGTGGATGAGATGTGAATGAGATGTGGATGAGATATGGATGAGATGTGGATGAGATGTGGATGAGATGTGAATGAGATGTGGATGAGATATGGATGAGATGTGGATGAGATGTGGATGAGATGAGATGTGGATGAGATGTGGATGAGATGTGGATGAGATATGGATGAGATGTGGATGAGATGTGGATGAGATGTGGATGAGATGTGGATGAGATGTAGATGAGATGTGAATGAGATGTGAGTGAGGTGTGGATGAGATGTGGATGAGATATGGGTGAGATGTGGATGAGATGTGGGTGAGATGTGGATGAGATATGGATGAGATATGGATGAGAAATGGATGACGTGTGGATGAGATGTGGATGAGATGTGGACGAGATGTGAATGAGATGTGGATGAGATGTGAATGAGATGTGAATGAGATGTGAGTGAGATGTGGATGAGATGTGGATGAGATATGGGTGAGATGTGGATGAGGTGTGGATGAGATGTGGATGAGATGTGGATGAGATACGGATGAGATGTGGATGAGATATGAATGAGATGTGGATGAAATGTGGATAAGGGATATGTGAAAGAAATATAGATGAAAGATGGATGAGATATTGATGAAATGGTGTTGAGATGGATAAGATATGGTTGAGATGGATGAGATGTGGATGAGATGGATAAGATATGGTTGAGATGGATGAGATGTGGATGAGCCTTTTGATTATTTTTTATTTCTTATATTTATTATACTTGTTTAAATGTCACTACAATTAAAACCATGTTGTACATACATAGCGTCCCATATAATTTTAGATTATCTCCAAGATTTAACGCCAGAATACGCAGATAATACTCGAAAAAACTAGTATTTTCTGCATGTAAATCTTTATATTAGCAATATACAATTTTTTTTTAATGATTCGTACTTTGTAAATTTTTTTTAGTCCCGGAAATCTCAATTTAAAGCTATAGCACGATCTAATATGATGTATTTGCAGGGTTACCCACAAAGTATGAGACTTCAGAGACGACTTTACTGAATTTACACAGTTTTTCTGACATTCTTATATTCCTTCAACTGAAATCTTGTTTTAAATTTATTTTATTTTAAAAATTAAGTAATTATATCTTATTATCATTTAAAAACTATCGAATGGCAAAAAAATAATTCAACCTTCATTTGTAATTAAATCATTGGAACCAAATAGAAATTTGAATTATAACTTTTCACTTCAGGTCTGAACTCTCTGAACAGAGCTTACAGGATACATGTAACATGAGTATAAGTGAATTGCTTTGTCTGTTTCAGGGTTGCCAAATAAAACAATTGGACCAAAAAAATCTATTTCAAAATATTGATAAGTGAAGCGAAAACAAAGTAAATAAAATAAAATTATTTTTGCAAAATGGATATTCATACAACTGTTTAGTACAAACTGTTTTCAGTCAGGCTCTTGAACAAAATTGGTTGGTGGCTAAAAATATTCGCAGGCTGGTCAAGCCAGAAACAAAAGCTATAATAAGGAATTGTGACTTGAGTGGTCAAGTATTTTAGCACAATTAAAACAACAAAGTATTTCACAAAGTCAGAATATTGATCCAGCAAGATTTATTTTAGTGAAGTTTAAACCCAAAGTTTCTCTCAGTCATTATAACATAAGATAACTAAGATGTAAATAAACCTGGCTATAATCTCCAAAATTGTTTAAGGATTATGTAAATCCTTGACAAATATACCCACCGATTGGTAACCCTAATATTATATAATGAAGATGGTGTTGTATCCGTTTGAACCTGTCTCCGGCCCCGGGTATAATCCAGAGCTAAGATTTCGCGGAGGGGGTATAGCTCAAGGTCGGAGTCCCGCCCATAAACTATCTCAATAAACTGATACAAGGAGATCATGACGAGATATCTCTTTTCGCGCCATAATTTCACTACAGGATATAGTTAATAATCTATTTATGCCATTGTAATTGGTATTATTAAGTGCGAAAAAGTTTTTGCCGGGATTTTAAATTTTTCAAATTCTTTAAAAGCTGGTCGATATATTAGGTATGAAATTTGAAATTTTAATAGTAGGGCGAAAAAGTTACTTTTTCGCCCTGTTGTAGGGCGATAAAGTCACTTAATCACCCTACAACGGGAAATATTAGGTGTGATAAATTGCATGAAAATTGAATAAAATTCATAAAATTCTGTCATAAACAGAAAGTTTATATTAAATGATATTATCCAAACAAGTTTGAAGAAATTGAAAAGTTTTATTTTGAAGTTATTTTCACATTTTAACTATTTACAACATTATCATTTTGATTTGGAGTGCAATCAAGTTTTCGACAGGTTCAACTTTATCGCAAGAAGGTTCAACTTTATCGTGAGAAGGTTCAACTTTATCGCGAGAATGTTCAACTTTATTGCGAAAAGGTTCAACTTATTTGCGCGAAGGCTCAACTTTATCGAGAGAAGGTTCAATTTTCACGCGAGAAGGTTCAACTTTATCGCAAAAAGGTTCAACTTTATTGCAAGAAGGTACCACTTTGTCACGAGAAAGTTTAACTTTTTTTGCAAGAAGCTTCAACTTTATTGGAAGAAGGTTCAACTTTATCGCAAGAAGGTTCAAGTTTATCGCGAGAAGATTCAACTTAATTCATCCCATTTATGCTCAATTTGTGCTCAATCTGTTTGTAGCAATGCTATAGAGTAATTACCAAGCTACAATAATGTTCAATTAGCTGTATATAAACTATTCTTATTCATTCACATAATATTTTTTCTAAAAAATGTAAATATTTCTGATTTTGCACACATACTCGAGGTAAAAGCCCCTGATGAGACGGTTCCAACGATATATGCACATACCTGGGTAATTTTTTATACCTAATTGTTTCCAGGCGGGTGTCAGGTGTTATCATGAAAAACAGATTGAGATTTCTTGAAAAGGAGAATATATCAAATTAAAGGAATTGAATTACGATTTTTTGAAAAAGTGAATTTATAAAATAAAAGAATATATTAAGATTTCTCGAAAAAAGAGAATACATTTAAAAGGAAATATATGAAATATAAGGATATATAAAATTTCTTGAAAAAAGAATTATATTTAGAAGAAAAGACTAGATGAGAAGTTTCTTAAATGTTTCCAATATGTAAATTGTGAAGAGAATGAAATATTTTTCAATAAAGAACATCATTAAAAAAAAATCAATTAAGAGAGTAAGTAATAAAGTTATTACTGCATGACATGTATACTGTGTAGTGTGCTGATGAAGCTTAAAGTACTATAATAATGTAGAGGGGGCCTGGCCCCCCTGGCCCCCCCGTTGCGCGCCTGGATGAATGAATGCATGGGTTTATGGTTTACATGGCCTGATGATAAAGACAAGAATCGTACGATATTACCGGCCTGGTCCGGACTCTGCTATACCTGCGGCTGCTCCGGACTCTGGTACTGCTCCGGACTCTACTATACCTGCTCCGGACTCTGCTACGGCTCTGAACTCTGCTATACCTGCTCCGGACTCTGTACTGCTCCGGACTTACTCTGAAATCTCATGGTCCGACATTTCTCTGGGTTAGAATAGTTTCCCGCTCTAAAAGGAGAATTTGAGCCAATGACCTTAATCAAATTATCAATCTCAAGACACGTGCATATCGCAAAATTGATTCAACCCTAAGGAATTTAGCAAAAAATAGCATAATGCTAACCTTATAATGTTTAAGTAAAATTTCACGAGAATTCCGACCTATGTATATATCTATGAGCTGAGATTGCGATGTGTTAAAAATTATTATTAAAAAGTTTAATAATTAATAAAAGAAATAAGTTGAAATTAAGATAATTAAACAAGAGTAAAATAAATTAATTAGAAATAGAACAGTATGATAAAGAAGAAGAAGATATGAAAAAATAGAAAGGGTAGAGAAAAAACAATAGAAATAGAACAATATGATGAAGAAGAAGAAGAGATGATGAAGTAGAAAAGGGTAGAGAAACAACGATAGAGAAGACAGGATAGAAAAGAGAATATAGAGAAGAGAGGAAAGAGAAGAAGGAAAGAGAAGAGAGGAAAAGAGAAGAAGGAAAGAAAAGAGAGGAAAACAGAAGAGAGGACCAAGATAAGAGAGGAAAGAGAAGAGAGGAAAGAGAAGAGAGGACCAAGAGAAGAGAGGAAAGAGAGAAGACAAAAGAGAAGAGAGGAAAGAGAAGAGAGGAAAGAGAAGAGAGAATAGAGAAGAGAGGATAAAGATAGAGAGGGTAGAGGAGAGTGGATAAAGAAGAGAGTTTCCGCGCTTACTGTATTTATCCCAATATTACATGTGTTTTTTGGGGACTTATACCAACACAAAACTTATCCCAATGGACAGAGGAGAGAGGATAGGGGGGGGGGGATTAAAGAAAATTGTAGATAAATAGGTTAAAAATTGATTTGCAAGCTGTGTAAAAATTATGGAAAACAACAATTACTATAAAAAGAATTGCTTGCAAGGGCGTAGACAGAAATAAATCGGGGGCGGGGGAAAAATATTTTTNGACAAACTATCCTGACAAACTATCCTGACAAACTATCCTGACAAACTATCCTGACAAACTATCCTGACAAACTATCCTGACAAACTATCCTGACAAACTATCCTGACAAACTATCCTGACAAACTATCCTGACAAACTATCCTGACAAACTATCCTGACAAACTATCCTGACAAACTATCCTGACAAACTATCCTGACAAACTATCCTGACAAACTATCCTGACAAACTATCCTGACAAACTATCCTGACAAACTATCCTGACAAACTATCCTGACAAACTATCCTGACAAACTATCCTGACAAACTATCCTGACAAACTATCCTGACAAACTATCCTGACAAACTATCCTGACAAACTATCCTGACAAACTATCCTGACAAACTATCCTGACAAACTATCCTGACAAACTATCCTGACAAACTATCCTGACAAACTATCCTGACAAACTATCCTGACAAACTATCCTGACAAACTATCATGACAAACTATCATGACAGAAAATCCTGACAAACTATCCTGACAAGCTATCTTGACAAACCATCCTGACAAACTATTTTGACGAATTAAAATGACTTCATGTTTTATGCTAATAATTCGCATTTCTTTCATGACTTCCATGGGAAAAATTTCTAAAGTCAATCAAGCCACACATTCAATTTATTAACTATTAAAATTTATTTTTATCATAAATTTCATTTAAATTATTTTTCTCTCTTTTTATTATTTATTTATTATAATCATGACAAACTATCCTGACAAACTATCCTGACAAACTATCCTGACAAACTGTCAGGTTTACTTCAGATATTTCTGATGAAATCCTCCAACGTCATCTGCTTTGCTGTACACTTTTAGATTAACCGGTTGGAAGGTATTTTCCGAACGTGGGAGCTTTGGGTTAAGGTTTTGACTTCAGAAGTTCAGATACCTTTTTTAGTGGATTTGTATCTATAATTTTCCTGCATTTACAGTTACAAAATCTGTACTTTTGGGATCCTCGAGGGTATAAAGACGTAGTTTCTCAATTGCGCATTCTTGCATTTTTGATCCGAATTCAGAGATAGGATGATTTTGTCAAGATTGTAGATGAGCATGAAATTATCTGGAATAGTTCCATATTTCCCTGCATATATAATAATTGAGAGAGGGATAAGACCTGAATAAAATGAAACCCTGCATGCTACAGTGTCAGTAGATTGAAACACGTTGGCGGCTATACAGTATACAATACACCCTATACAGTTACACTATACACTTCAGTAGTATCCGGTATAAGAGAGAGATATAGGGGAGAATAAACTCCTTGGTTTGGTTAAATGAAGGCTCCAGCGTGGATTTCTTTTATTTATTTCTTCACAATCAGTTCAACACTAGCAAATGAAGGTATTTAAACTTTTCTGGTCTTCTATAATCGATCAAAATTATATTTATAATTTATATTGCAGGTTCAACGGTTCTTTAACCGTAAACCATACTTTCTTTTGTAGAAACTAGACAAATAATATTTTTAAATCGAGTTGAACCAGAAAAACAGATTCTTACGGACCGTCCTGACAAACTATTTGTACGAATCCCGAACTATCCTGACAAACTATCTTTACGAATCACGAACTATCCTGACAAACTTTCTTTACAAATCCCGAACTATCCCGACAAATGTCTGGACAAACTGTCCTGACAAACTATCCTGACAAACTATCCTGACAAACTATCCTGACAAACTATCCTGACAAACTATCCTGACAAACTATCCTGACAAACTATCCTGACAAACTATCCTGACAAACTATCCTGACAAACTATCCTGACAAACTATCCTGACAAACTATCCTGACAAACTATCCTGACAAACTATCCTGACAAACTATCCTGACAAACTATCCTGACAAACTATCCTGACAAACTATCCTGACAAACTATCCTGACAAACTATCCTGACAAACTATCCTGACAAACTATCCTGACAAACTATCCTGACAAACTATCCTGACAAACTATCCTGACAAACTATCCTGACAAACTATCCTGACAAACTATCCTGACAAACTATCCTGACAAACTATCCTGACAAACTATCCTGACAAACTATCCTGACAAACTATCCTGACAAACTATCCTGACAAACTATCCTGACAAACTATCCTGACAAACTATCCTGACAAACTATCCTGACAAACTATCCTGACAAACTATCCTGACAAACTATCCTGACAAACTATCCTGACAAACTATCCTGACAAACTATCCTGACAAACTATCCTGACAAACTATCCTGACAAACTATCCTGACAAACTATCCTGACAAACTATCCTGACAAACTATCCTGACAAACTATCCTGACAAACTATCCTGACAAACTATCCTGACAAACTATCCTGACAAACTATCCTGACAAACTATCCTGACAAACTATCCTGACAAACTATCCTGACAAACTATCCTGACAAACTATCCTGACAAACTATCCTGACAAACTATCCTGACAAACTATCCTGACAAACTATCCTGACAAACTATCCTGACAAACTATCCTGACAAACTATCCTGACAAACTATCCTGACAAACTATCCTGACAAACTATCCTGACAAACTATCCTGACAAACTATCCNCCCCCTTACTAAGCTCTTGTACTGGTCACCATGTTCATATACTGTAACAAAGATAATTAATGAAATATGTGGAATGGGGATGATATATTTCCCTTAGCATAATTTAATTTCTCTCAAAATTACTTTAAAAAACGGAAAATGACCAGTTTAAGAGAAAAGAATAAGAAAATAAAATTCCCTGAATTTAAAAATAGCCGATGGTTTTAGATTACAAAGTATTAACTATATAATCTTCTACTTGCAATATGTATATTGTAATTATTAAAGATGGATAAAAACTGATATAAACGGATTTGATAAAGTAAAGATAAGAACAACTTTTTAATCATTATTTCTCCGATAAACATTGTCAAAACCCCTGAAATTAAACGTCAATAATTTTTATCTAAAAAAATTCAATTCCTTTTTAAACTTCTTGAAATTAATAAAAAGTTTTTGTGAACACCTTTCATATACGTGGTATAAAAAGATGTTAAAAACACAAAACATAATTCAAGCAATTTTCGAAAATATATTATATAAACTTAATAATCATATGAATGATGTTTTCTACACAAAGTTTCAAAAAATAAAAAATTAAAACTGAAAAAAGGGTTTTAAACGCATAGAAGACATTTTTTTCAATACATTTTTTCAACACCAAAATAAACTGTTTTCCTCCATGGATATATACAGTGAAACCCTTAATAACGAATACATCGGAAGAATTTATCAAATGTCGTCTTGACAATTTTTCAATAATTTAATTCACTGGAATAATATAACAATTTACCAAAAGTCTTCTGGTACAATTCTGGTATCCTCAAAAGCTCTCTGATGTTTGTTAGTCAGGTCGTCTTTTGCTGTACCTAGTTCACCTATGTCCTTATAGTCCTACCTATTCCACCCCACCCCAAAAGACGCCACCGTTCTATTTCATACTTTGAGAGGGTTTAGGTCGCTTATACTTTTAAACTGTGGGATCAAACAAATCACAAGTGAAAAGATATTAATTAATTCAATGAAACTTGTGTAAAACCGGTTTTGACTTCTATTTAAACTATTATAAAATAATTCGCCCAATTGCATATTAAGAACAGCTGTTCGAAAAGTTCGTACATAGAAGTTGTTAAATACGCTTACAGTCCGCCGCCGTTCTGTGTGGCATGGGTTAAGAAAAACATCTGATTTTTCGGTAATCCTTTTTAAGTCGTACGATAAAAAGCTTAAAAAACTTGGAAACTTTCCAAATACTTTCTTTTCATTTTTATAGTTTTCCCGGTATATGCAAGCTTTTGCATGTGATTAAATTCTAAGACGTCAAGCCAGCCATGCAAATTCAAAATAAACGAAAACTTTTTTGAAAACCTCAAATTGAATGCATGAAAATGCGCAAATTTGCGTTAAGGTGTACTCTAAAGTGAGCTTTTAGTGTTATCAGATTGTGACTTACTTTTTTCTTGGAATTAGTGTAGAGTGTAGACCAACGTGATTTTGAATTTAGCTGTGATTAGGCATAATTTTAATTGCTCTCTGTAATATTTTTTGATCTTTAAATGACTTTAAGATAATTTCTGTTTTCCCAGTGCAGTGAGTCGAGTTTAATTAAAATCAGGGTGTTTTCAGAATCATTATTTTTTTAATCCAGAAATTAGAACATTGACTGAAGGGTGGGGGGGGGGGGT